AAAACCTGTAAGCATCCTGCTTTGCTTTCCTAGCAATTAAACAGTTTCAAGAATGTCCAATAAGAAAAGTGGGAAAATTTGGCAGATATGTAATAAAAAGAAGAGTCAGCATTATTTTGTTAGTGCAATAGGCCTCTACATGATGTTGCACTGTTAACACTGAAGCAATTGCTTTGAAAAAACAAAAAAGATGTTCTGCCATTAAGTGAGCAGTAGCAACAAGGCTAATCAAAATTCCTAACAAGCTAGGGTTTTTTTCTAAAACCAAGTAAGAAACCTAACAAATACATCAAAACCTCAAGTGCAGCAAACATGAAAATGAGAACAAATTCAGCAAGATAGCGGCCTATTCTATCCTTCATTCTGCTTCAGAAGTATTTTCTTCCTGACTTCAAATTCAAGCTGTAAAAATTTGAATTTACAAGAAAAGTATACGTATAAGACCCTGATCCTGCAAGCACATAAATTTAAAAAATTTAACTATAGTACTTTTGCACATGATACAAAATTAAATAGTGACATTTAAAAAGGGCACTAATAATTTCTGTCATTACAAACTTTAGCCTTACATTTTCAACTTTAAACTAAGTTAAAAAATGATGCTGTCTTAAATGCAGTGTAATGGATTTAAATCTACTTTGTAACAACATTAACCAGTAGATGGATACCACAAGAAGCAATAAAGTGTGCAGACTTCAGGGCTTGTCTTCTTCAAAAGGTCAAAGGATTCTCAGAATAATTAAGCATATTGTGAAGAGAAACCTTGATATACACGTTAGCAAGAAAATAACATTTAAATGAAGACCAGATCCATTAACATGGCTATCAAACAGCAGCTAAGAGTAGTGTCAAACAAGTCCATAGAACAGAGCCCTTTAAAATTTATTACAGGCAGTCCTCAGACTTACAACACAATTGGTTCCTGAAAACTGGCTCAAGTCAAAATATTGTAACTCAGAACCGATTCTCCCATAGAAACAGTGTTATAAATGGAGGACTGGTTCCTTTATGAAGGTTAACATAGATGCACCCAGCTGGTAAGTCTGTTGTGAGGAGGGGGAGGGAAGGAGTGTGCGTGTGTTGGGGGGCCGGGGTGGGGTAGATCAACCAATGCTGCTATCGCAAGGGAGGAATTGGGGCTGGGGCTCGGACCTGAGCTGGGGCAAGCACTGGCCAGGGAGGGTGCGGGGCAGCTTGTGCCACTGCGTGTCGCTGTTCCAGGAGCTGCTCATGTGGCAGCTTGCCTGGCAGCTCTCGCCACAGCTCCCACTGCTAGTCCCGGAGGGCATGGGTCAGGGGTGTGTGCCCCAGGACCTGTACAGGACAGATGGGGCCAGGGTTGCACCAGGCTGCGCTTAAGGCAAAAGGCTCTAGGAACGGGCTGGTGCAAGGCTGGCACAAGACTGAGCCACTGCACTGCCTCCAGACAAGCAACATGCAGCGGCAGGAGCCAGCCCGGCCTCCCCATGCCTCCCGGACGAGCAGCAGCTTCACCCCAGCTGGGTGAGCGGCGGCAGGGCACGTGCCACTCAAAAACTCACTGCAACCCCCCGATAACCCCCGCTCCGCCACCTGCCCCACCCCAGTCCAGAGGCACATGCCTCTCAATGCTCTGCCAACACTCACCCAGCTAAGGCGAAGCCACTGCTCGTCCGGGAGGTGCAGCAAGACCAGGCTGGCTCTCACCACTGCGTGCTGCTTGTCTGGCTTGGTAAGCAGTGGAGGAGCATAGCCCCCGCTCCCAGAGCTTCTGCCTTCCACCTGGAGCGCAACCTGGTGCAGTCCTGGCCCTGCAAACCCCACGCAGATCCTGGGGCACACCCCCCCCATCCCACACCCTCCTGGACCGGCAGCAGGAGCAGCAGCAAGAGCTACTTGACAAGTCGCCACACGAGCAGCTTCCAGATCAGTGGTGCACAGTGGTGCCCCACCCCGTCCCTGGGCAGTGCTTGCTGCAGCCCAGGTCCCGGTCCCAGCCCCAATACCTCCCTCGCTGTGGGAGGCACTGATCTGCCCTCCCACATCCCTTCCCTCCCCCGCACCACAACAGACTTACCAGCTAGACACAGCTGTGTCAACTGTGGTAAAGGCAAAACCAACATGGGAACCTCGACCCACAGTGTCAATTTACAAATGTCCTAACTCCAAAAGTCATAAATCAAGGACTGCCTCCATATGCAAATCAAGTCAACACATCCTGAAACTCAGTCACCATGATCTGCAGTCAGTATTTTTTAGCCAGCAGAAAAATGACCTTTCAACTAAAAAGCTGAAGCCCACAGCAATCAAGCAGGTCAAAAGTATTTTCATTAAATGTGTTGATCTTTAAGGAGGTCTTTCAAAAACATAACGTCTTGAAAGAATATGACAACACAGATCTGCAGAGGTATTGATCAGTGTGTAAAATGCCAGAGAGCTCATGGACATACATTTGTCCGCACTAATAGGAATCCTTCTGTCTAAATCAGAAAATATATGCAAAATCTACTACAACTTTTTTCACCAGTTCATTCAACACATGACGCACATCTATGGCAAACTCCTAGTTTGGGGTGCTTGGCACAGGGACCTCTCACTAGCAACTCTTATATTTCCATTTGATTGTAACTCAAGACCAGCCAACAGTTCCTGTAACAGATGTTTTCAATCACACAAATGACATATTTGGAAGACTGGTCTGCCCCAATGCCTTATACTCAGTTGTCTTGGACAACTCAGTCTTGAGCTTCAAGTGCCTGCCTTATTAATTGTTCCAGAAGGACCAATTTTGGACTTAAATTTCCTAAAGAACCTCAAGAAATACTTACAGGCCCATCATACTTTCTTCTGTGCCTAAAATAGCACCTGCAAACATAATTAACAAAGCTACATAATAAGAATGAACTTTGATGGACATGACACAGCATACAGAGGAGACAAAACAGCTGTTAGGGAGGTTCAATTCCTTAGGCAGGCTCCTTCCTCAATTTTAGTAAAGATAGAGATGACTGGGCTACATGAAGTGCAGCAGTTAGGCCAAGGTGGAGCACAACAGCCAGCAAGGGCCCAGCTTTTGCTGTTTCCATTACTGCTCTTTTAACTTCTCAGAAAACAAGGGGGATTAAATTAGTCTTGTGTTAAAGACCTGAGACCCAGGAGTGAGAGCCACGTTGAGAAAGGGTCTTTTCAAAAATTACTGTTCATAAGTAGTAAAAAGATGGAAACAATTACTGTATTTCCTTGAATACAGGACAAGGTTCCCCTCCCATCAATCAGCATGGGAAAACAAGCCCCTTGTCTTATATTTGCGCAAAAGGAAACCTCATTAAATACATTATCATTAAACTGCTTCCAAAAGCAGCATGTGTTCAGTAATGGAAACCAACAACAAAGCTAATTAAATAAAATGCATGGCCCATACTGTGCAAACGTAATGATGGGAACCTTTTTTTATTATTATTATTCTCAACATTTTATTAAAAACCAAAACTTCTTATATTTACAAATAGCAAACATTATATAATCCAACAAAGCTTCATAACATATTAACTCCTCTTCATCTCTTAACAGTTTACAATAACATTATCTCGTTCCACAACTATCCCTTTTCCTAGCCTCCCCCCTCTCTCTCGCCTCACTATTTCAGGCACTCCCTCAAGTGAAATACATATTTTCATTTACCTTTCCTCCACATCTCCTCCCTCTTACTCTCATCTTCCTCCTCCTCATCCCTTTGCATGTAATATCTGAGCTCAAACAGGGCTAGCTATAAACATTCTTTCATAGTAAAATCCATTCCCTTCATGATGAGACAGTTCCTCACTTTCCACAGTGCTGCATTAACAAAGATCACCCATGCCTGTACCTTCCCTTTTTCCTGCCCTTTCTTAACCAACCCATACATCGCTGTCTCAAAATTTCTTATCATTCACTTCTAAAATGTTTACAAATCTCTTGTGCTTTCCTCCAAACCTCCTGTGCAAAGCTGCATTCCCAAAATACATGGACCACCGATTCTTCCCCCACACACTTCTCCCATGGGCATTTTGCTGTTTTTTCAAAACCCCACCTTACATTCCATCTCTCTGACTGTTAAAATCTTCCTCACCATTCTCCACAACAGCTCTACATGTTCCCCTTTTAAATCTTCCCCCATTACCCTTTTCTCCACATTCACTTTGCTTGATGCTCCGACAAATCACTTCAGTTACTTTGTCTTTTCCCTCTTAGTTCCTTCAAAATCCTTCCCTTTTCTTTCAAACCTTGTATCCCCAGCCCTTCGAAACCTCATGCTTTAATACAATTTTCTGCTCTCCCACAATATATCAACAATGTCCAAGCCCACTTCCCCTTCCACCCTGTCCCATATAGACCTATCCTCCACAAACAGTTCCTCACACAAAATCTGCAAAAATTTCCCACTTTCCCGCTTTCTTCTGATGCTTCCCCCATTATCATTCTAACAAAGTGTGTGTAGATAAAAGTTTTTCAAATGTAGATAAAAGTGTTTTCAAATTTGCACCTCACTTCCACATGCTCAGGAAGAGCAGGACTTGATAATAAAGGTGAGTGGGAACAGGCTGCAGGGGGAAGAAGTTGCGGGGGAGAGAGCAAGAAGGGCACCTGACCCCACCCTCCCCAGATATATTTTCCCTGCTATAGGAGTGGGAAGAGATTAAATTCAAGGCAAACCTCCAATAAATAGATTTTACACCTGGAAAACTGTAACATATTTATACATTTTCCATATACAGAACCTAATTGTTCGGGGGTCATCTTCTATTCAGGGTCGCCTTATATCTGAGTAAGTATAGGAAGACCTTTTACCACTGGTAAATTTAGAAACAAATATCTTTTTTAAAAGCACTTGTTTAAAAACAAAACAAATCTGCTTTGATTCTTTTCTAGGAGATATTCATTTAGATGTGTGAAGCATTCATTTGAATATTTTTCATGAGCTTTCCTTTAATTAACACACTTCAATTACTACAGTATGTTTCTAGTATGTATTTATTCAGTACCTGTCTGGTGATCGTCTTGACCAACGTCTTCTGTCAGATTCTGCAAGACATTTTGATTAATGCAATTAAAGGATACGATTGCTTGGCTGTTCAGAATTTAAGCACTACTTGATAGCCCATTTCATTTTTATAAATTTAGTTAAGGTTACATTAAATGTTTCTAGTCTGGCCACATACTGACATTCAGTTTCTATTGGAAGAGTCATTGTTCTCCCAGTGGAAACCATGAGCGCACAGATGTTCAGGATTTTTCTCCAAGAACAAAAATGGCTGCCTTGGGAGAAAAATAACCAGGGAAGAACCACAGTTAAAAATCACTCCCAGGAGAATTTCTCCTGGGACAGTAAACATGTATACACTTTCCCTTCTGAGAGAAGCTGCATCACAGTCCTCCAGCATCCCAGGGTATTTTGTTCCTACCCCCTCTCCCACAGAGGAAGTCTGTCACTCAGGATACACTGTATTGTTCTAGCTGAGCAGGGAACAGAACATGCTCCCTTGCACAATCCCCACATGTTGTGTGTTGCAGGGAGACACAGGCTGACCTTGAGCAGTCTAGGGTCAGCCAAGCAGGTATGCCCTGTGCACTAGTGCCGTTTATCTCCAGGCAGATGGAGAGAGCCTGCAGAGCATGCTGAGATGTGTGCACAGGGGCCCCCTGGCTCTGCAGCATCTGCACTGCAAGCTCTCTGCTCCAGTGTTTGAATGTCTATTCAAGTCTCCAGTTAAGTTTTTCTACCAGGAAAACAAACTTGGGAAAATTCTTCCAGATAATTTGCATGTGTGTACGTGGAATCCATTTTCAAGTTGTTCTGTATTTTTTGTAACTATACCCTTATGAGATGAAATGTTCTAGGCTTAGAATGTACCAATGGTAATTTTCCTTAATATTTTAAAGCTTAATCAAACACTATTCAGCTGGTTGAGAGAGAGAGCTCATTATAAAATACCTACAATGCTGTTTTAAATTTTTCTACTGCTGAAAGAACTACTAGCTAGCTGTGAAAAAAAAAAGGTGAAATACAATACAAATATAACTCCAATTTAGCAAAAGTAGCATTACGTGTTCCTAGGAAAACTAATAAAATGGACTAAATTATGAGCCCTTAAGAAAAACTCTAATCTGAACACACATTTTGATAAAACTCATGAAGCGGACAACTGAAAAAGGTTATGCTGTGCATGGATCCACAGCTAGCTACAATGCAGAGTTGAAAGTTTAGTGATTATGCATAACAAATGAGGCAAGCATCTTGAAGAATCTGACAAAGCTGAAAGCTGTAGACACAAGCACTATGCATACACCACAGTACACATGAAAGCTTGTGTGGAACCTGATTATGAGTCAACAGCTCCACTGAACACAGCTCAACTTAATTCCAACTCCTTGGCTAAGTACAGACAGTCAAAAAGCCTGAACCTAATTGATTCAATCTTTGCAGGTTAGTCTAACCTGTGTAGATTGAACCAATTTGCAACTAAATAGGGATTCACTTTTGATTCCGGAAATGCAGCCACATGCCTGTACTGGCTCAGGCCAAGGGGCACTAGAGCAAGCCCTCCCTTCCTTTCAGCAGCAGCCACAAGAGAGGCTGGAGGGAAGCTGACAGGGGGTGGGCCGCTGAATATGATTGGGGAAGGGTTTAAACCCCCGCCCTGGCCTGCAGGGACCCCAGGTGGGGTGTGCCAGGAGGGGGAAGGGGAAAGCAGCCCTTCCCAGAGCAGGTTTGTCCCGGAGTGAGGAGCATGACCAGACACCAGCCAGGGCAGCCTCAGGCAAGCTGGGGGAAGAAGGGGGATTAAACTCCCATCTCCCCTCTCTCCCAGCAGCACAGGGACCCTAACCAAGGTCTGCCCAGCTTTCTAACCCGCTGGCTGCTTACACAGTGGGAGGCTTGGCCAGAGCTGGGCAGGGCAGCAGCCTCAGGTAAAGCTGAAGCAGAGACGAGGATTAAACTCCCCTCGCGGGCACAGGCACCACAGCTGGTATCAGCTTGGCTTTCCACCCTGCTGGCCGATTGCATGGTGAGGGGCATTGCCACAGCCGGCTGGCATGGCTCTACCATCACCTGCCTCACCTGGGGCTGGGACTAGGACTGTAGGGTCCCACAGGTGCTGATGAAGGTGGGTTTGGAGGGGCTGGGCTGTGGGGGCAGGGCCCTTCTCAGCCAGCTGTGGCTTGACCTGGGGCTGCAGGAGCTGGGCACCTGGATTGCTCCTGGCTCTCCGCACCCAGGCTGGGCTGAGCTGTCATGGAGCCACAGCCAGCTGGGAAGGCCCCTGCCCCCTCAGCCCAGCCCAACCTGTGCTGGTCCCTCTGCACCCACCCTCAGCAGCACCTGCAGCCAGCCTGGTTCAGCCCCAGGTGAGGCAGGCAAATAGCAGGCCAAGACCCTTCCCAGCCAGCTGCAGCTTGGTGACAGCCCAGCCTGGAGCACATGGGTGGCAGCTGGCTGGGTAGCAGCATGGAGATGATGCCTCTGCAGCTGCGGGTGGGCACCCTGGCACCTGGACTGGCTGCATGGGACAAGTCCTTCATGCCCACAGCTAACTGGGCTGGCTCAGAGGTGCCAGCGGGCCTGAAGCCTGGCGGTTGCCTGCTGTGGGGGCTCATCTGCCTGCAACCGCTGTCACGGCCACACCCCCTGCACTGTGCCTGCTCCTCCATCTCATGTAGCAGCTACAAACAGGTAAGCAAGCACCATGGAGGGGGCATGGCGGTAGGCACATGGGCTTGCATGATGGGTAGCTGCCAGGCTCCAGGCCCACCAGCGCTTCCAAGCTGGGCCAGGCAGCCACGGACACAAAGGATTCATCCCACATGGCCAGTCCAGCTGCCAAGGCACCCGCCCACAGCTGTAGGAGCGTCGCCTCTGCACCCCTGCCCAGCCAGCCACTGCCCACGCATGCCAGGCCATCACAGAACTGCAGCCAGCTGGGAAGGGCCCTGCCCCATAACCCAGCCCAGACCAGCCCCACTATCCACTTGCTTCACCCAGGGCTGAGCTGGGTCAGCTGTAGGCACTGCTGAGGGTAGGTGCGGAGGGGCCAGCCTGGATCACAGAGGCAGGGCCCTTCTCATCCAGCTGTGGCTCTGTGACAGCCTGGCCCCGCCGGCATGAGGGGAGCCAGGGGCAACCTAGACACACAGCTTCTGCAGCCCCAATTGAAGCTCCAACTGGCTGGGAAGGCCCCTGTCCCCAAGGCCCAGTCCAGGCCAGTACCTCCACATCCCACCCTCAGCAGCACTCGCAGGCCAGCCTGGCTCAGCCCCAGGCTTGGGCAAGACAAGCAGATGGCAGGGCTATGCTGCCCAGTGTCTGGTCATGCCCCCACCCCTGCTACTGGAGCAGCAAGGGGGGCCAGAGGGGACCATAATAAAGGCTGCTCCACCCTGGCAAAGCAGACCCAGCTGCAGTCCTGGGGGCCGGTGGAAGGGGGGGAAGAGGAGGGGATCGTTCCCTCCTTGCCCCTTCAGCTTAGGGGGCCATGCTGCCAGGCATCTGGCGACAGTCCCACCCTCACTCTGGCTAAAGAACAGAGGGGCAGGGCCAGCCCTGCTCTCTGGAGTAGACCGCACAGACCAGCCCAGGGCTGAAAAGCAGGCTGGGATGCTGGAAGACTTATTTAACTAAAACCAGGAAGGGGTCTGGGACAAAAGTTCCATAAACCAGTTTGACCCAAATCAGTTAAGTCTGATACTACATTCAACCAAGTTTAATTTTAACCAGTTTCAGCCATTTTGAAACTGGGTTATGTGCACTAAACTTCTGTTCTGTTACAGGTTTAGACCAGTTTCTGATCACTTAAAACAATGTGTGTGCAACTTCTGTCCCTGTCCCTGCCCCTTCTGCATACACAAGCAACCTTCACTGCCACTGCCCATCTTTTGATTGTTTAGTTGTAAAACCTGTGAACTTCCTTTTTCTTAATCTGCCCACCATCCCCTCTCCCTAAAAAAATTCTTTGAAATGTAATAATCTAAAGATTTCAAAAGACAAATAAATGCATGCTAGAATAAATAACTAATTAAATTAAGAAATGACATTACCAGCTTATTCAAAGTGTGGTAAATCTTGTGAATATTTGCCAGTGTTGACAGATGAGAGTTCAGCTGAAAATCTAAAGGGGGGGAAAATAATTAGTTTTGTCTCTTATAGTTTCTATAGCTCTAAATGAGATGTAATATATTCATGTTGTTATTAAAAAAACAAACCCTAACATCACCACAAAGCTATGTTGTACAAGCCAAGTTAATACTATTTTTCATCACCTTTATTCCCACCACAGTCTGGGAATTAGTAAGAACTTACAAAAAAATAAAGAATTTTCTTCAAGTATATTCCTGGATCAACTCTACTAAATACAAAATTATTTGCATGCTTTTGAGTCTTGTGCAAGATTCTTAACATGTGTTTGTTTTAAAATTCTTCCCATTCACAAAGGTACATCTGAGGCTCATTCAGAAATAGTAAATAGATTTTTTTTCCCCAACATATCCAAAGTTAAATACTGCTGCTAAAATACAACTGGTTAGGGTGCAAAGCTAGTGGTTAAGTACAGTCTAGGCACTGGGCATGCAATCTGACAAATACATCACTAAGAGCAGGCTAAACCAGGATTCTCAATCCCCAGGCTAGGGCCTGGTGCCGGGCTGTGGCAGACCAGCTGCCGGGCTGGCAAACCATGGCCCCCCAGAACCAGGAGGAGAGGCCACGGCTCCTTCTGCAGGGCCTACGGCAGCACAGGGTTTGGCCCACCTTCTGCCCAAGGGGTGGGGTATCCTTACCTATTTTCCGGCCAGAAATTCCGACCACAGTCAGCTGTGACTGCTGGGCCGCGGCATAAAAAATTTGGGAACCCCTTGGCTAAACAAACATTTGTATGGGATACTTTGGATGGGAATTAACCTATCCTGAGCAGGGAACTGGACCACACAACTTCTTGAGTCCCTTACAGCCCTATTTGTCTGTAAACACTACTGAATATGGTTATTACTATGGTAAGGTTTCCTATGAAATTCAATAAAACTATGTATGGTAGTCTACATTTGCATGATTAAGCCTTACCTGAAGAAACAGCTAACCCTATAAACAGAATACTCCTCCACGAAATTTTGCTTGGCAGGGCCCTATATGCCTAGCTCATACTAGTCATTAAAGCATTCCAGCATGGGAATATTATTCTCTGACCAGATGCTAAAACAAAATGCAAGTGAAAAACATAGTCCTCATACCTCCACTTCAGTATTATAAAACGATTCTCCAAACAAACACTACACAAAGCACAGAGTTTGAGGGTAGACTATACAAGGTATTCAAATTAAGACTACACTAAAAGTACAGCACAATTCAGATTTTTTTCATATAGAACAACACTGCTGTAAACTAATATTAACAAAATGCATTCCCAACTATAGGAATACCTTTTAGACATACAAGTTTGGATTGTCTCATCATAGTGGATAAAACATTAAAGATATCTCTGGAAATCTGAAGAATCATAGACCCCTGGCAGACATTATATTCACCATGCCTTAGGTGTGCCATGTGACAAACTAACATACCAACTGGCCACAGTAAAATTATTGCAAGATACTTCCACATCGCAAAGGGCCCTGAATGACATTAATGTAGTCACACAATTGGGATCTGATTAATTTTATCCCAGATACCAAAATTGCCCTGCTAGCGTTTGTAAGATCCCAATTACAGAACTGCTGGCGCAGTCTCTGATGCTGGATTGCCCGTACATCCAGACCTTTAACAGGCACACCTGCAGTTGGAGATCTAAGCCCCAGGGCACACTGTCAGCTGCAGCCCACCCTTTAAGTGTTTGGGCTTTCAGACACTGAATCATATGTTAAATTTGCAGAGCTCCTGAACCCCCAGCTGCCTAGGGGATAGTTCTGTGCCACAAAGAAATTGCTGTAAAATGAGTAGCTTCTTTGTGGCTTATCTGCCATTTTTAACTGGGTTTAAACAGGTTTAATGTCTGCTGTTATGATTTTTCACGATACTCTCAAAGCACTGGCTGGAATGATCTAGTTCAGGATGGTCCTGCTTTGAGCAGGGGGTTGGATTAGATGGCCTCCTGAGGTCCCTTTCAACCCGAATTTTCTATGATTCTATAATGTTTGATAAACATGTCTGCCAGGGATCATAAAACGTATCTTATATCTAAAGGGAATCACTTTGTTGAACTGTAAATTTGGTTTCACATCAACCCTGCTGTAGCTTAATTTGAGGACAGACATCTGGTCACCAATTTATCAGTTTGGGCTAGTTTGAGTCTTATTATACCAAACTAAATTAAGCCCATTTTTTGTTAGTCAGAACCAAAATTGTGCTCTGCCAGCAAAGAAAGAAAAAGAAAAAAGAAACCCTTACAGCAATAAACTATTTAAAATGGTAATTTTGAAAGCAAAGAAATCATTTAGAGCACTGAAAAGACATAACAAAAGTCAGAAGAACCTTCAGAATGATTACATTATAAATATGTAGTAGTGAAAGAACAGAGTTTCCCAAATTCAGAATTGGGGGCAAAATAAGAGAGACACAGAGAATTACTAGCTGTAATGTAAGAATACATAATTCGGGTGTTGTATCTGTAGTTTAATTTAAAAAACCAGAAAAATGCTCCAAAACATTGCCTGAATTAAGGCCCAGTTATTAACCCTCTTATATAGTTGCCATTAATCCAATAATCATTTGGGACCAAAAGAAATCTCATGAAGTTCAACAAGGACAAGTGCAAAGTCCTGCACTTGGCACAGAACAATCCAATTAACTAGTACAGGCATGGGACCAAATTGGTTAAGCAGCAGCTCTACAGAAGAGGACCTGGGGGTTACAGTGGACAATTATCTGATGAGCCAACAGTGTGCCCTTGTTGCCAAGAAGGCTAATGGTATACTGGGCTGCATTGGCAGGAGTACTGCCAGCAGATCAAGGGAAGAGATTATTACCCTCTATTCAGCACTGGTGAGGCCACATCTAGAGTACTGTGCTATTTGGGGCCCCTGCCACTACAGAAAGGATGTGGACAAATTGGAGAGAGTCCAGCAGAGGGTAACAAAAATGGTGAGGTAGCTGGGGGACATGATTTAGAAGAGGCTGAGTAAACTGGGCTTATTCAATCTGCAGAAAAGAAAACTAAAAGGGGATTTAATAGCAGCCTTCAACTGCCTGAAGGGTGCTTCCAAAGAGGATGAAGCTAGACCAGGGGTGGGCAAAACGCGGCTCGGGGACCAGATGCAGTCCGCCAGGCCATTCTGTCTGGCTTATGGTGCCCCTTAACATTTAGAAAGTTAATATTTATCTGCCCCTGGATGCCTGTCATGCAGCCCTTGACGGCTTGCCAAAACTCAGTAAGCGGCCCTCCACCTGAAATAATTGCCTGTCCCTGAGCTAGACTGTTCTCAGTGGTGGCAGATGACAGAACAAGGAGCAACTGTCTCAAGTTGCAGTAAGAGAAGTTTAGGTTAGATATTAGAAAAAAAACTCTCTCACTAGGAGGGTAGTAAAACACTAGAACAGGTTACCCAGAGAGGTTGTGGCCTCTCCATCCTTGGAGGTATATAAGACATGGCTAGACAAAGCCTTGGCTGGGATGATGTAGTTGAGGATGGTCCTGCTTTGAGCAGGCATTTGGACTAGATGACCTCCTGAGGTCCCTTCCAACCCTAATTTTCTATGATTCACAATATAAATGAAAACAGAGTATATAAAATAAAGGTAAAGAAGCTACATAATGTCAAGATTTGTTGAATGCCCTTCACCAACTACTTGACAATCATTATGAGGAGATATTTGATGTTTCCAGACAAAACACATAATATTTAAGGTACAAGTCATTCTGTACCTCCAAGACCTTCTCAAGCAAAAATGAACAAAGGTCAAACAAAAGCTAGACTGAATGAAATAATGGAATTCTACAATATGTGGGTGAAACATCCAAATTTTAGGCATGTGACTTAAGAAGCGAATCAATCTTCTTCCAGTGTGGCTGCTCTTGCAATACTTCTGGGAGACTGGAGACCCGAGATGTTGCCAAACTACCTGTGCACCTGCAAAATCAATTTAGTTCTGGCTGTCAAAAATATCTTCTTTGGTCTTCAACAAAGAAAAAAAAGGCTAAAAAGAATTAATTTGACAAAACTGTGAGAATTGGAAGATGTCAGAAGTTGAAACCAAATATAACTCCTGGATACACCACAGCCTCACTGTAATCTGATAGTCTTATTTAAAATAAATTAGTAACTGGAAGTCTGAATGCCTCCATTAAAGTATTTGGAATATTCATTTGGGCAAGTGGGAACAATCTATATCTGATACTCACAGCTCCTAACAAATTAATTTAAACTGAATAAGGGCCACATCTAACCTTTATATTTGAAAAAAACTAGCAAAATTCCCATCAAGACATTATTTGGGGATTTTTTTTACATGCCTATTTATTTACAAATCTAGAACAGATAGAAGACTCATCTGAACGCAAATGTTGGCAACAGTCTCCTATGAAACACGGTGATACAGCAAGAAAACTGAGTCACTTGATGTGCCCAGTTTATTTTTCAGCAATGAAATGGCTACGCTTAGATATTGAAACCTACGTGCCATACAAAAAATTAGGCAATGAGTTTGGTGTGAGAGGAGAGAAAAGGAGCATGCTGAAAATATTACTGCTGAACCTGTTCAAATGGAGTATGCTTGGCCAGTGCAGAAAGATATCATCACTGAAATTAAAATTTTTCAAGCTACAATTTAAATTAATTTAAAACAGTTAAGTTCCAATATTTTGAAATGTATGCCTACCTACAGATTCAGGAACAACTGCATATATGGTTTACACTTAGAAAACATTAAAATAAAAACCTGGATTTTAAATTTACCATTACTTTCAATAAGGCCTAAAAGCCACTTTTCAAAATGCATAGTTTCAGAATGCATCACCAAAGCAAAAAAACAAATGAGAGCTATAATCAGGATTGTTTAGGGAAGGGAAAAATCTTCTCCAATGCAAGGTTTCAAGACTAAGATCTAAAGGAGTGCTAGAAACATGTTACCTATTCTCTACAGAAGTAAACCCTTATTTTCAACTAAGCATATGACAACGTTAAC